CTGCCGCTACTATAGAATCTATGGATTTTATGCATGTTCAAATGTGGGCAATGTGGCTGTTGACTTTTTATTTTGCTAATTGATGCAATAAATGACCTACAATAATATTTAAAAATTATTTATAGTGCAAGACACATAAAAAATAGCACCAACACATCACTCGTCGATCAACGAAGGTTCATGTCTCAATGTCCAACAATTAAAAAATCGTTCTTTCAATTGTCAAAGTAAAAAATAATTGCTTAAATTGCAATTGGAAAAAAAAATGCAGTGATCTATTATTAGGTTTGGACATGGGTCAGAACGGGTTGGAGATTGACAAATCTTCGAAATCGTACCGAAATTTGAAGATCACTAAAATTCAATCTCCGGACACGTACCAAAAAATTGGTTCGGTTCAGTTCGAATATTTTTATTTTGTGGTTCGGTTCAGTTCTCGAGACCATTGGAACGGTTCATATATTCAGAATTCTAATTATTTTATATATTTTTTTAAATGATCGCCTAGTTGTATTTTAATATTTGTGTTTTTTTATTTTTAAATGCAACATTCATCAATACTTTATCGTACTAAAGATTTATTTTTAAATCAATTGTAGAAGTACTGCAAATTTTTAGTTAAGACTAAATTTGTGCAACTAACTTTGAAAATTCAAAATTTAAACAAAATATAATATAATTTTTATCAAAGTAATATTTTTTAACCTTTCATACCATGTTAGTTATAAGATAGAATAAGACTAGTATCGACAAATTTAAGTAATGTATAAATATTTTTAAAATAAATATTTATTTAACCTTTCATACAATTTTTATATTTTTTTTTAAACCAAGAAAATTCAATTGTGGATCACGTATTAATGTATTATTAAGCATGAAATTTAAGTGATGTTTAATTGGTATAACTATATTTTATTTCTATTTTAGAAATTTCAAAATTATATAGGATCAAAGTTGACATAAAGTATATTAATATCACAAATCTATTTTATAATTTGATTGTTAATTTAGGTTCTTAGGTTCAGTACTGTATGGAACGGTTCCGTTCAGTTCTCGGTACAGATATTTTTGAAATCTCAACAACCATACCAATTATTTTTTCGGTTCGGTTTGGTTCGGAGAAAGTCAAACGGTCAACATTTATTTTTCGATTTGGAGTGATTTCGATCTGAATTTCGGAATGATTCGAAATTCTCCGAGTTCCATGCTCAGCCCTATCTATTATATAAGTTTGTCTTAAGTTAAAAATATAAACGGTAGTTTTTATTTATATAAATTTGTCTTAAGTTAAAAATATAAACGGTAGTTTTTATTTTCGGTCACCGTAATCGGCTCGTTGATATATTTTATGCAATGTAATTATATCAAAACTCAAACTTGTCCAATCTTTAGTCGCTTGATTTTTTTTATTTTTATTTTTTTTCGAAACGATAGAGGAGATATACATAACTAAAACCGGAACGATGTTCGAATACAAAGAAGAGAACTAACTGGGAGGACTTACATGTAGTCCAACTCTGGACTACAAACAAATAGGAGAGAAACAAATAAAAGAACATAAAGACTAAGACACTCCAACATGCTTAACTTTAATCGCTTGAAATATAAGTACAACAAAATTACATGCTGTGTTTTCAGTGAAACCTTCGGAATATAACACAGCATCACAAAATCATAATCTCGGCGTAAACTGTATGGCTCGCCTTGCAAACTTTTCGCCGTGAAGTGTGTGGCTACGCTGGCAAACTTGGCCTACTGCGTTAATTACCAATAATAATAATAATAATAATAACAACAATAATAATAATAATAATAAAAACAATAAGATCTTCACGGCACGTCTTCATCATCAAATAGAGAACATTGGGACTTCACAAAGATTCATTCAAATTAGGGCCAATATGACATAAGATGAACCATAGACATCCTTGATGCCCAAACACCAAACCAGCCACTCAAACATTGGAGTAAAAAAATTTCATATATTCTGCTATGTTCAACCCAAAACTACAATACACAGTGTTTCTTAAATGCTGGACATATAATGCAATAGCAGACATTACCCATAAGTGAATTCTCTTACATTCATCCGTCTTAAAAAAGACTAAACCCCCCACCACGACCCCCCAAACGAACATTCACCCACTTCCCCCGAGTCCCAACAACGATGCGTGCCAAAGCCCGAAAGTTGAAGATCTCAAATTCCCTTTTCTTCTCCCTTCTTTTCCTAACAAAAAATTTTCACTCATTCGTGCTATCAAAGCTGTCCGTGGCATTACCCTTCTTTTTCTCCCGAAAATTCTCGCCCCAGACCTTGGCCAGGGCCACTGCTCGTGCTCTCTCCGGGTTCTTGGGGGTCTCCCCAGCCCGGCCCGAGCTTCCCGGGCTGTCCAGCTGGGAATCGACCGGGCCCAGCCTGCTCCCGGATCCAACTCTGGTCTCGATCCTGCGCAGGTCGGGCGAGTCCTTCCTCCTGGAGTCGGGCGAGTTCTTGTGGGCAGATGAAGGTGAGCCGAAGTGAGGAGCGTCCATGCTGTCTGATGTGTTCTTCCTCGAGTGCCTGTGCTTGGGGGTGGGACTGTTGGGGTCATAGGTTTGGGACGCCAGGTAGGAAAGGGCTGTGACGACGTCAGCAATGAGGGGCCGGGTGGCGGCCTGCTCCTGGAGACACATGGCAGCCACAGCCAGGGCTTGGTAGAGCCCGCGCATCGGGTAGTGGCCCTGCAACAGCGGGTCCGCCATTTTGGGGAACTTCCTCCTGTCCCTAAAAAGGGGCCTCGCCTGGAGACCATAAAAGAGAATGTCACGATATTATAACATAAATAAAAAATACAGCGAGAACTTTATTTTGATCTTGTCTTACCCATGCAACGAGATTATGCTCTCCCGCGGCCCGCGTGTTATCAATCGCTCTCCGGCCTGTGATGAGCTCAAGAAACACAACCCCAAAGCTATACACATCTGACTTCAACGTGAGCTGCCCCGTCATGGCATACTCGGGAGCACAGTATCCATACGTCCCCATAACCCGGGTCGAGACGTGGGTCTTGTCGCCAACTGGTCCCAGCTTCGCGAGCCCGAAATCGGACAGCTTGGGGAAATACCCCTCATCGAGAAGAATGTTGGACGATTTCAGGTCCCTGTATATCACAGGCGGGTTCGCCTTATCGTGAAGGTACTCCAATCCCTTGGCCGCCCCAGCAGCAATTTTCATCCGTGTGTTCCAGTCGAGAGGCTCTTTATCGGGTGGTACATCTGCACATAATGTTATTGTTGTGTCATCTAACTAATAAGTGGGATGACACAGAATGTAGCATTAAAAAGAAAAAAAAAAACACAAGTTCCAGTTATTTTTAATACAAAGCACGCCTTCTTGTGTTTGTGTTGCTATACATATTGAAACCTAACTACATGCAACTTTTAGAAATAAGCAAAGTGCGAGTCATGAAATATAATTGAGTTTGTTTATGCTCTTACGATTGAGCTGAAACTCAGGGCCATTATTAGTTTAACTACCCTTTTATCGAAACACAACATTATCTGTCTACGTTGGGTGCAAAGGTAACTATCTATAGCCGGTGCCAGCAAAGTATATCAGATTTGAAACTGTCAAATGTTGCAGGCTTTTGTTTATTCAATACATTGAATCAAATAATTAGCACAAGTCCAATGGATGAAGCTATATAGTAAGGTCTAGATACTAGAAAAAATTGGTCGGCAAAATGGGTACACTAAGTAATCTTTCCAAAAGTGAAGGTGGGAAAATAAAAGACTCGATCAAGATCTAAAAGCTTCACTGACATCAATCCTTTCTGCAACATGATAGCTGATATCCTTATCATTCTATTCACAAGTCAGTCCAAAGCTTATAGAGCAGCTGCACCATATTGTGATGCCGAAAATATCTCAAAGCAACGTCCACATGCAATTATAATTTTCTCAGCACCGAAATAAATTTTACAGAGTGGACCTTCAATAACGCACGGTGTGCGTGAGCCAAATACCTGCACGTACTAAAATTTGCACACTAGTTCCCACATATTAGTGATACTCTGGAACTTATGTCCACAAACTTTAGCTTCTTATATTGTCCACTCTCAGAACACCTTAAATCCATGTGAAGTGCAGATTAATTGCAAATGACCCTTTTCTACTTTCCAATAAATGCAAGCCTTAAGCCAAGGTAAGCTGAGACTACTTGCAAGAAACTAAACTCTGAGGTAAGCTGAGACTTTAAGAGAATCTGTATTTTATATATTCAGGGAAGAGGTGTGGTCCGACAGGGGTAAACTGCACCTTAAGTGAGGTTCAATTTCAAAACTAATTGTTGATCGGAGTAGCCCACTACGCTTATAAACAAGACTCAATTTCCAAATTTAATCAATGTGGGAGAACTCACAAGTGACATTCCAACAGAATTGAACAATAAATACAATTTAGAACCATAATTGTAATGTTCTGAAAGAAATCCAAATGACCAAGGTCATATCTGTTTCAAAGTGTCGTTATTGTCCAAAACTCACGAAGGCCAAACCGTAGAACTAAAACTGAAATTATAGAAAAGCTGAAGGGCCAAGTATAATCATTCTAAGATAGAAAAATATTCACTCCTACAACCAATGTTAATAAAGTTCACTGTGGCCATTCATGAAAGTATTTAGATTCATCACCTATGTATAAGATCCCATTAAAGAAGTGTGCGTGATATTCAAATAAAAAATTGCATTGTAATAAGAATATATAACCAGCAATAGAGAAAATATAAACAGATGTGCCAGGTTCGATGATATTTTTATCTGTGAATGGGAAGTATTTGTCAATAGCTAGTTGGTGTGACCAATATGGATCATAAGGACAATCATAGAAAATTACAATCCAAATGAAACATATTAGTAACTTGTTCAGTGATGCTGGATTGCAAATATAGTTGCCAAGATAAAAATATTTAATACATAATTTACTGGAAAAACAATATTCCAGTGATAAAACAGGGATTCAGAAAAAAAAACAACACAGTTAAATATTTTAACTTAAGACTAACCATGTAAATGATCTTCTAGAGACCCCAATGGCATGTACTCATAAACTAGAAGTCGTTGGTCTCCATCAGCACAATATCCAATCAAGTTGACCAGATTTGGATGGTGTAAGAGGCTAAGCATGAGAACCTCTACTAAAAATTCCCTATTCCCTTGAAGCCCATTACGGTCGAGTTGCTTAACTGCCACAACCTGTAAAACGACCACTCCCCAACAGTGATTCAACATAAAAATTACGGATGTATCTTTTGTATCTAGTAAAACAATCTTCCTGAGGTTTGTATCTATTATATTCTACAATTTACACCCCCC